TTTTTTTATTGACAATGATGATATAATAGGAGCACAGTCCTTGGAGCTAGACCACACAGATCAAAGCCAAGGCCAAACTTCTACAGTTTTTTAACTTCTCTGAGCCTCAGTTTCCCTATCTATAAAATGGTGATGATAATAATGGTACCTCTTTCAAAGATGATTGAAGAGTAGATCAGTTACTACCTGTAGCAGATAAGATAGTGCTGGTGTATTGTAAGGTCTGAGTAAACATGTAAACTTAAGCTACTGTCATTCATTCAACCTCGTGAACGTTGAATGTGCTATAGATGTCAGTGACATAAAGGTAAGGGCCTGCCTCAGGTCAGTGGGAAGATGGACACACCAACAAACCTGCCATTCTGCCTCAGCAGGCTCTTTACTGAATGTGTGGGAGATGAAGATGCTACTACAGAATAGGTATAATACTCTCTATATAATAAGTATAACTGGTAAGAGAGGCAGAAGACATAGAAAAGCAAGAAATGTAATTGAACAACAATTGAGATCAACCTTTTGCCTATTAAGAATTAAGCTAGGGCTTCCCTGGTGGCGCAGTGGTTGAGAGTCTGCCTGCCAATGCAGGGGACACGGGTTCGAGCCCTGGTCTGGGAAGATCCTACATGCCGCGGAGCAACTGGGCCCGTGAGCCACAACTACTGAGCCTGCGCGTCTGGAGCCTGTGCTCCGCAACAAGAGAGGCCGCGACAGTGAGAGGCCCACGCACCGCGATGAAGAGTGGCCCCCACTTGCCACAACTAGAGAAAGCCCTCGCACAGAAACAAAGACCCAACGCAGCCATAAAGAAATTAATTAATTAATTTTAAAAAAGAATTAAGCTAAAATGCATGACAATGTAGCTGAGATTAAATGCCCAGAAATTGGAACTTATTGTGGTTTAGTAAAAGAATTAACATAGAACAGAACAGCAGCCTAAAAATATTTTATAAAGTTACCATGATAACATCCTGGCCAGCCAAACATTCAGTTATCTGATGTACCGATAAAACAGCAGGACTTACCGTATTCCACCAAGCTGAAAATCTGCAAAACATCTAGTGTGTGCATGCGTATACACACACACACACACACACACACACACACACACACACACACACACGCCCACACGCACATGCAAATACCATTTGGTGCAGAAAGAAAACATAAATATGGAGAGCAAGGAACAGAAGTGAGGCTGGTTTCAATTTCACCTCTAATACCCACTTGCAATCTATCCTTAGGTGAGTTACTAAACTCTGCTACCCAGTGTTTGCATCTGTAAAATGGGGATAATGTTAGCACCTGCCTCACAGGGTTATTGTGAAGACTCAATGAGACATTACATAAGACACTCCAAATAGCTAGCAGTGGCTTGCCCCAGCCTTGGCTCTGTAATAGTTTATTTTATTGCTGTAGTTTGCTGTGCACTAGACACCTCCCTCCCCTGACTCCCTCCTCTCTCCCTGTCTCTCTCCCTCCCTCCCTGTCTCCCTCTGGATGTATATATATATATATATATATATATATATATATATATATATTTACACAAGTAATCCATGTTCATTTTAGAAAAACAAGAATATACATACAAAAAGGAAAAAAATTAAAGACCATTCTGATTCCACCACCAAGAGCAGCAACTATTTTGCTAGTATCCCTCTGGTCTTTGTCTATGTAAATTCACTACATCTATGTAAATGTCCATGTGTATGTAAATACATCACTACATATACAGGATCATACTCTACATTCTGTCTAGTAGAATTCTTTTCCTGTTCAGCAATATATCATGTCAGTAAATATAAAATATACATTACCATTTCAGATTACTTTATAGTAGTCTGTTTTAAGTAAATTCCATATTGTAGTTAGACAATCCCCTATTGCTGGAAACTTGAGGCAAAATCCCATTTTCTCTGTTATAAACTCTGTTTGTGTAAATATCCTGCATCAGCCTATTTGGATACTTTGGCAGAGGTTCTTACCATGGCACAGGGCGAATTTTTCCTCAATAACAGACATTACCAGTGGTCTTATTCATGGGGCCTGCATTTGTGTAGGAGATAAATTATACTTAGGGTCCTGTGTAGCTGCAGATTTTAACATAGCAGTACCTGTTTGAAGAACCTCATACCTAAGTGTGACCCGGCAGCAAACAATACAAAGCGTGAACTGAGCCAAAAAAGAACATGTATAGTGTTAATAAGGTGCAGAATCCAGGTACTGGTGGTCATGGACATAAAAAGTGGCCTGGAAATTTTTCAGGAATATAGAAGATCAAAGAACAATTGGAAAATAGGAAACTGGGAACAAGCAATAGCAATTTGTAGTTTGCCTTCGCAATTTATTTTACATCAGAGCTCAGTAGTCATCCACAATTACCTCCTTGCATTCCTGAGTCATTTCACTGAGCAATGTCAAGGGCCACATAAAGTGCTAAGTTAGTTTTAATAAGACGTACTCAGAATTCCCAAGGAACAGAAACTGGGGGGAGTCTTAGCCAGTGAGATAAGCTTGTCTGTGCACATCTGTCGCGTAGTTATTGAGAACCTACTATGTTCCAACAAGTGGGGACACAGAGAAAAGTAGGCCAGGCTCCCAGATCTGCTTCCAGGGAAGATCTAAGCTGTCAGGGAGGGAGGGGGAGGGCGCAGGGGGTCGGGCCGCTGCTAGGTCGGCACTGTTGTTAAAGAATCTGGACTTCTTTAATGTCTTGCAATTTCAATTTTCAAATATTTTACTGACAGGACATCTGAATAAGAGTGGAGAGATTCTGATCCCCTTCTCAGCATCACCTGGAGCACTCATTCTCCCTCACTGAGCCTCTGTAAAGTTGGGGTAACAAGGCCTCATTTCTACTCTCCACTTCACAGAGATAGTGCCAGTATTTAGATAAGAAAACGTTAATAACTAAGAGCTCTTTGAATTTCTTTGAAGCTGCCCAGATGTCTGAGGTAGCATGACAACACGTAGCAGGGTTAATACTGTTTGCACTTGATCATTTTGGTATTGTATTAAATTTGTATAATACTGCGTTTATATTCACAGACAAGTCAACTCCCCATAATCTATGTTTTAATATGTATTCAGCTCCATTTTTGAGCTGAGGTGACTTCTTTCAGCATCTCAGCCCATTTCTAAAGTGGATTGTCACTGGAAAGGGGTAATTTAGGCATTCGGGGTCATTTACTATTCGCCTCAGGCAAACATTCAGGGGAGGGAACATTCCAGAGAACTGTCTTCTGTGCCTTTGACCTCCCATCTCTTGTGCTCACTCCTTGAGGCTTTTGTGTTGGCCCTTACACAGCTCTTTCCTCAACTTGCTCGCCCTCTTCGCAGCTCGTATGTCTCTTGTCTCTGCCCCAGCTTGGCCTTCCCCCTCTCTCCAGTCACTTCCATCCACTCTTGTCTCCCCTGTCATGGTCCTTTCCCTCCCACCAATGGTTTTGTAGGAAATGCTGTGCTGGCCCCTTGGGGTATCTGCTCAGCAGCCCACAGCACTGCTAGTCCCCGAGATGAGATGGAAGCCAGCCAGCCAGTGTCTCTCCCACCTTACCCTATCATCTGTGTGTGACCTCACTCATTCCCTGGACTCCTTGGCCTCTGTCATCACTACATGGGATAGTGAGATGGGAATGTCAAATTACTTGGGCACATTTCCATGCTAATCCAAAGGAAAGCCACCTGGCTTCATTACCACTATGCACTGACTCCAATATGTAAGCATGACATTTCCTAGAATGGATTATGGAAAACATCTCAGCAGACATTTAGCAGTTCCCCAAGTGGGAGGACAGCAACCCTATTTCCCGTCCTGCAGGAACGCTCATCTCTAGTCTTTCAACAAGCTGACGTTTTCCCCACCCTTTCTGGAGTTTGTTCAGCCAAAATGGTAGCACAATTAAGATGTCAGAGACGGTCCTACATAGGAGGTTCAGGGTCCTAAGACATAAGGCAGGGGCATTACAAGACGCATGGAGTCAGATGAGTCTCATTCCCCAAGACCACCCTCAGGCTCAGAGATTGACTAGAAGGATTCACAAAGCTCTTAGAAAAGCTCTTAGACCCATGGTTACGGTTAATTACAACAGAGGGATACCAATTAAAATCAGCAAAGGGAGAAAGTGCATGGGGCAACGTCCAACAGAAACAACGCACAAGCTCCCAGATGTCCCCTCCAAGTAATATCACACAGATGTGCTTAATTTTTCTAGCAACAATCTGTAACAGCATATGCAAAGCGTTATCTCTCAGGGATGCTCACCCAAGCCTCAGTGTTCAGGTTGTTTATTGGGGTCAGTCACAAAAGACATGCAGCACCTGCATGAAAGACCTCAAGCGACTCAGACTCCAGCCCCTACAACAAAAATAGGTGTTCAGCATAAATCACACTGTTGGCATAAACTCTGCTTACACTGGCACCATGTGGCCCAAGGCCTCAGGCATACAAAAACGCTCTTATGAGGCACATTATCACAAGGACTCAGAGCTCTTCTCTTAGGAGCCAGTCTTAAAAAACAGGTCTTTCTTGGGAATGTGCAGGATTTGAGCAACCTGGGCCTGCCGAGTTAACCCTTTCCTGCACACATGGCCAGGGTCAAGACGCAGGAGTGCTCTGGCACATGACAGCACCTCCTGCACCTCAGTTACCTTCCAAAAATAAGGTCCTCTCTGCCTTCCACATAGGGTCACTGTGATTCATAATAATAATCATTGAACTCTTTTCAAAACCAGCAGGACACCTACAGCAAGGATGCTTTTATTATCATTATTATTACTATCATCATAATCACTATTGTCATATTATACTCACATCATAATCACCACTGTTGATGGGACAGGGCATGGGAATGAGCCCTTAATGCTTCTGTGTGATCTCAGAAGAGGTCAGAAGTGCCTTTTTCCAGATGCTGTAGACAAGGACAACCTCGGAGTAGTGTGTCTTCACTCCTCCCTGGCATTTAACCCTGTCTTTGCTTTTGTCTCCCTTCCCTTGGCAGTGGCTCAGAAATCCAGGCCCCCAGCACGAGAAGCGGACTCTGTTTGGAGACATGGTGTGCTTCCTGTTCATCACTCCTCTGGCCACCATCTCGGGCTGGCTCTGCCTACGGGGCGCCGTGGACCACCTGCACTTTAGCAGTCGGCTCGAAGCCGTCGGACTAATTGCACTCACTGTCGCACTCTTCACTATTTACCTCTTTTGGACACTAGTAAGTATGGCCCAGGGCCTGGGAGTTAGGTCGGTGGGAGCTGGCAGCCCCCCAGCTGGCACAGCCTCCCCTCTTGCCTGTAGCTCATCTCACCCACCCGGGAGCAGACAGACCTTCAAATGCTAGCGAGTGTGTGTGATTCGGTTTACTACTGCACGTGAGTATGTGTGTGTGTGTGTGTGTGTGTGTGTGTGTGCGCACTGCTGGGAAGAGCAGATGAAGTAAAGAAAAAGGCCCAGCTTCTGAGAGTTCCTCAAAGACATGCACCCCAGACATCCCTCTCCTCTTGTAGCCAAGGACTCTATCTGTTAGGAGGCCTGGCGTTTTCTTTCTCTCGTCTATGCTCCTCTCTCTTGCCGGGATTGTAATGTATGGTGAATGATGCACTTGGCCACTGTTGCTGTCGCTGCCTGCACAGATCATGAATCCTCCTGCTGGTTATTTTCTTTTTATGTCCTGACGCGGCCTAAAGCCCTTGTTGGACATGGAGCTGCACTTCGCCTGATGATTATTCTGGGTTGGGATATTGACTCTGCTGCCCATAAAAACACTAATTCATCTAGCTGAGAAGCTGTCACTAAAGAAAAACCATTTCCCAATAAGTGTTCCTGCTGTATATGAGGGGAAAATCTTTAACCCTCTCTGGTTCTTCATTGTTTTAACCCCGCGATTGCTCGGGTACCAGTTGGCAGAGCCCACAAAGCACAGCATCTGCCGTCTCTTGATGCTTCCCTCTGAGACCTGCAGGGAAGACTGTCACGATCCTCTAGAAGGTTTTCAGAAACCGGGCCCCCTGCTTCCTGGCATGACTCTCCCGTGCCTGCTCATCTCTAATCCAAGCACATTCCATTGTTATTCAATATGTATTTCCTGTCTAGACTGTCCCATTCCCATACCGGCAGCACAGTGTCGACGTGTAGAAGCTTCTAGTGCTCACACTTGCTCCCTTGCTCTGTCTCCCGAGTCCTGTGCCACCAGCTGCCATTCCTGCCACACTGACCAACCGCAACCCCCTGCTCATCGCATTTCCCTCTTGTCCAGCTCTTTGCCTCCTCTCAGGGGGGAGTTTCAGACAATAAGTGGGGGACACATTTCAGTCTCAGTGAGAGGGGCATGACATGAGCCTTGGTAAACAGGTAGTGTTCCGATGCTTGGAGCTTTATCAGAGTCCTCTGGTTAAGGCAGGCATTCTGTTCCCAGCCTAATGAAGCCCCCAAGCAAAACTATTATTGTCTGCTTTAAATGTCTATGCTTCCAAAGTGTGTACTGATTCATTGTGAATCAAGCAACCACGCTGACTCAGAAGCCACAAGGACACGGTGATGGGAAGAGGCTTAAAAATAAGAAATTAAAGGGCTTCCCTGGTGGCACAGTGGTTGAGAGTCCGCCTGCCAATGCAGGGGACGCGGGTTCGTGCCCCGGTTTGGGAAGATCCCACATGCCGCGGAGCGGCTGTGCTCATGAGCCATGGCCGCTGAGCCTGCGCGTCCGGAGCCTGTGCTCCGCAACGGGAGAGGCCACAACAGTGAGAGGCCCGCGTACCACAAAAAAATAAGAAATTAGGGAATACCCTGGTGGTCCAGTCGTTAGGACTCAGAACTTTCACTGCTGAGGGCCCACATTCAATCCCTAGTCGGGGAACTAAGATCCCACAAGCTGTGTGGCGTGGCCAACAAAAAAAAAAAAGAAAGAAAAGAAAAGAAAGAAATTGTCTGTCTACTACTGTCTAACTACTGAACCACCTTGGGAAGTCATTTCACCTCTCTGAGCCTCAGTGTCCTCATCTGTAAAGTGGGGATGAGATTAATACCCATCCTGCCAACTTCCCCTGGTCTTACGAGATTGAAGTGAAAGTGTCCATGGGAAAGCACTTTGGAAAATAATTAAGTGTAAGTTTTTACCATGTTTAGAGGTTTGCTAGTCTCTGATTTTTCTTATACAAGTGCCTAAGATGAAGGACGGATGAAGATATAGACTTAAATGATGGGCATTCAAACCAACTTAAGGCCTTTTTGAAAATCTGCTTTGTAAAGCACACGCTTACCTAACAAGAAAGAAAAAAAAGAGGGGTGTGGGCA